TGCTGTTTTGGAGGAAGCAAGAGCCATGGAGATTTGAGGAAGCGAGTATAGGACTTAGAAGAGAGGACAGAGCTTGCCGAAGAATATAATTCCAAGCGTGAGAGACGACTTCTGCCCTAAAAACGTCGACCAACGGCAGCCACTCCATGATTGGGCAGAAGAGATCTGCAGGTAGCTCGATTCTCGTTTCGGTGTTTCCGGTGGTGGAGTCGCCGGTTTCTTCTACTCTGCTACGCTTCGAGACGTTTTCGGCTGGAACTCCCTCGATCAACGGCAACCGCGCCATGATGGACAGCTCCCTAATCGCAGAATTTAAATTGAGTTTTACAGTTTTATACGTAAAAATTTAAGTTTTCTGTTGGGACTTGAAGTCTTTTGTTATGGACAGATTCGACCCAATTCTTTCACCGCAAAACACGCAGATCAACCCCTCATCTTTACGAGTGTTGGCAAATTACCCCTAAACAGAATTCACGCCCAAATTCTCATTGGTGGTAAAGTAGCTCTCGTCAAATTAGCATCAAATTGAAGAGGTTATATCCTATTTGTACCTCGTATAATGTTTTTATTTACTATCAATATTTTTAAAAATTTTTACTTATGGTTAATATCTTTTTCTTTTAAAATCCAATAATAATATCTAAACGATAATAATGTCATAACACTGACGTTATTGAATATACACACATAATGTCGAAGAATGATCTCCAAGCAAGGCAACACATAACCACATAGGCAAGGTTGTGGAAGACATCCAAAAATCATTATGGATGGCCTAAGCTAACTTTCCATCTAAAACATGGTAATTTTGTACGTAAGCAACTCAGTTTTTTAGTAAGATCACTCTAAACCTTTAAATTTATTGATTTCAATAAACTACACTATAACAGAATTATGATATAAGTTTCGTAAAATTTTGAGAGCATAAAAATCACAATAAAATTTAGCAGTTCTACACACAAAAATGGTAGAATAACATTCATAGAATGCACTTCACAAATACATGCTCATCTACTAATATAAGTTTTATCAACACAAACAATACTAAAGGTTCAAGGTTTTGCAGTCATAAAATCCTAATAGAATTTAGAGGACATACACACAAACTAATAGAATAGCATTTATAAAATGCACTTAACAAATACATGCGCATCTAGTAATATAAGTTTTGTTAACGTGGACAATACTCAATGTTCAAACTTTTGCAATATAAAATCCACATAACATTAGTAAGCGGAGTACATCCAAAAAAGTTTAGAAGAAGCATCCTAATGAAATTTACTTCCATTAAAAATATAAACATCACCTTGGACCATAATCGGTTATTCTTAGCCCCAATTCCACAGTCCACAGTGGATTCCCTTGGTCGCCTGGCACGAACGAAAGAACAGCCATCTGTACAAATTTTGTCCAGATCACAAATGTCCCTGTCATTAGGTTGAACTCAAAAGGGTTGAACCAGTTGGTCAGTCCCAATACAAGCAACATAATCTGATAACCCATCATCCCTAAAATTCTTGAAAGTTGAAACAGCCATTCATTTTTTTTTTTTTTGAAAGGCGAAACAACTATTCAATTATTATAAAAACATATGTTAAAAGAAAAAGATTATAATTAGAGAAAAGCATTTGTCAATCAAACCTCTACAAAATTAAGAAGAAAAATGTTTCAAAATGATGTTATTTTATAAATTCTTCTACAAATTCCCATTAAGGACAAAACTAACCTATTTTTAAACCAAAAATAAATTTGTTTTGGTCTTTTTCTGTGATATTTTATAGTATGTTTGGATTGAGAGAAATAAAGGGGAGAGGAGAGAAAAAAATTTCTTTATTTGGTTATCAAAAAAATTAGAGGGAAAGGGAAGAAAAATTCTCTTTATTTTATTCTTTCTTTTATTTTAGGTATTTGTCCAAATGAGAACAATGGAGGAAAAAAATTCCTTTCAACTCAAACATAGGGTTAATGAAACGGTGTAATTTTAGAATGTTTTTTTTTTCTTAATTTTTTTGAGGTGCAGCCTATAAGCACTAAACTCTTATAATTACCTAAACAAACAAATTAAAAAAAGTAGGCATTTGAAAGATAATTCCAATGCTCAAATTTGCATGACTAGTTCTCTAATGGATTGAAGTTAGTTAGAATCAACTTGAAGAACAAATTAAAAAGCAGAAGCTGCATTGATCAAGATCAAGACTAAAAATTTTAATAAGTAAAAGAGACATGACAATTGAAACCAGTAACTTGTTACAACTATTTTAAGCATACAATATGACATATGAGATTAGAAATACACCCATATTAACAGAGTAAAAGAACTAGGACTTTCTGTGGGGCAGATAAATGGTCTTATGTCTGCTCCAGTTGATGACATGTAGCTTTTATTCAATTTACGATACCATCTAGCAAGGCATGAGGACACTAGCCTTGACATCAAAATTACAGGTGTCCATTTGCTTTCGTATCCTTCATCATCATATTGCTTGTTTACCAGTTTAGAACTACAAACCAGTGAAAAAATAAAAATAAAAACTTAAATAATATTGCTTTCATATCCTTCATCATCATATAAGTTTGGGTGTACATAAATACCCAAGCAAAAGTTATACAAGCAAAAGTTACGCAAACAAAAGCTGCGAGCAAGTTTGGGTATACAAAAATACCCAAGCAAAAGTTACGTAAGCAAAAGCTGCGAGCAAGTTTGGGTGTACATAAATTCTCAGGCAAAAGTTACGCAGGCAAAAGCTGCAAGCAAGTTTGGGTGTACATAAATACTCAGGCAAAAGTTACGCAAACTAAAAGCTGCGAGCAAGTTTGGGTGGTATTTAGTTTGGGTGTACATAAATACCCAAGCAAAAGTTACGCAAACGAAAGCTGCGAGCAAGTTTGAGTGTACATAAATAACCAGGCAAAAGCTACGCAAGTGACACTACAAAGGTTAATGCAAATCTCAGAATATAAGAGATTTTTTGCAAATGTAAACTAGTAGCAACCAATTGGAGGGCAAAATCATACCCGAGCAAGGGACATGGCAAATGCTAACCAGTCATTAAAACACAGATCCCCATTGAGGTATAAGGATAGCTTCACCACAAGAAACTATAAAAGATCAAAGATAAAGAAGTAGCACACAGCTTCCTGGAAAACATAAATTCTGACATAATTTTGGTGAAAGGTACCAAAACTCAAGTTGGAAACAGAGCTTTTTAAAGCAAAATCTTTGAAGCTAGCTCATTTAATTGTTGATAAGCAGAAATTGGACGATTCAAGACAAAAGCAGCAAAAGAGATAAGTTCTTTTTTCTTTTTTAATAAATAATAGCATTCTTAAACTGACAACACAGGTTTATCATACCTTTGCTTTTCCCTCGTATCTAAATAAGATCAACCTTAGCATGCAAGCAGCGGAAATCCAAAGTACCAATGAGTTGCGGAAAATAGATGGATAATGGGAACCAGCATCATAAACCTGAGCAAATTTAAAGAACGGAATTAAAGCAGTACAACCCAAATGGTTTTTTCAAAAATAAATGTTCTTATATGCAGGTTCAACAAGAGGTCTAAAAAGCTGAGCATTTAGAAAATGAGGGGTACCTTGAGAACCTCCGCATTCGCAAAACTACTCCAACTGTGAATATAACAGAATCCTCTGCGTCCTCAAAAGCTGCCCAATCCTTACTCTACTTCAACTAGAGATCTGCCCAAAGGAACATGCGTTGAACCTCAATCATAAACTTTCTTCAACTATGGATCAGCTTAAACCTACACAGCAACATCCATGCTCTCAAACTCAGAGATGCGATCAAGCACAATCAACTTGATAGCAAGGGACTAGTGAGTATCGAGTTTTATATCAAAAGAATCGTACATATCAGCAGCTTCCTCCCGAAGCCTCTGTGCAGCAGCAACTTCTGATTTTAATTCAATGCCCTTTTTCTGCGAATTTCCTCTAGCATCTCTCTCACATTCTTGGCAGCAAGCTTTCTCTGCTCCCTCCGGTCAACTCCGGCTCGGAATCCTTGTCACAACAAGAACTGGGCCTTGTGAGGATTTTGATCTAATATACTGTTCTTTAATCACCTTCAACTCCTTCTCACGATCTCGATCCGCCAATTTCTCCAACCACGAACACTCACGCTCCTTGGCTTCCTCCTCATGCTGGCAGTTGTAGCATTCCGAGCAGTGTTCCTTATCTCGCCTCCTTTCACGATCTCAGCAGTTGGAATTGGGGGAGGGTTTGGAGGAGCCGTAGTTAGAAGGATTGAGGCGATGAATGTGGTGTTGTTCTTGGATGCAGCGTTCCTGAAGGCGCTGGAGGACCAACTGCTCTCTCTGCGCTTTAGTTAAGAAGATAGGCTTGGGAGAAAAAATCGTAGGAACCTCCGTTGGAAAATGAAGGGTCATGGGATTCCTCTCTACACAACGTAAAGCATCCTTCACCACAAATCAGCCAGGAAAATGGAAAACGTCAAAACACTTGGATTCGGAAGATGAAAGGCTCACTTTTGAACCAACAAAGGCAAGAACGGGAAAAACTGGCAACAACAGAAAGAGAAATTGTCATGTCCTCGACAGTAGTAGGAGAAATTTCTAAGATGATAAGATCACCTTTGACAATGGGATCCACCCCCATCTTGGCAATATCCCGAGCAACTGGAGCCATAACAGCAGATTTTGAAGGACTCCCCTCCATCAAAACAGAAAAATGGCGAAGAAGAAGAAAGAAAACGCAAGAATAGCGGAAGAAAAGAAGGAAGCAAAGTCAGAGAAGAAACAGAGGAAAACAAGAAAAAAGAAAGTGAAAAAGATCAGAAAAATTAATAAAGAGAAAAGAAGAAAATCACCAGAACAGAGAAGGTGAAAAGATTGGGAAAAAATTAATAAAGAAAGGGGTAGAAAGTTCGAGAATACCAACCAAACAATAAATGCAAACCACAAATGATTTCTATTTTTTACTGTTAACAGTTTTTTTCTCCGTTCTGAACATCTATAATAGGCTATTTCATCAATGAAGAAGTTGAAACGAGGGAGGAATAAATTAGGGGAGAAAGAAAAAGGAATAGTTAATGTTTCCTTCTGGATTCCAATCTATAAAATCATATTTAGCACTAGCTACAATGTCTAAGATCATAACAGACATGGAAATTCCTTCAGCAAGCATAATCAAATTGTTGATCTCTAGGTGCATCCGAAAATCACCATTTTCACATTTTTTACTGAGCACATTAGCTCTGTTAGAAATCTAAATACATATTTAGTTTAATGATGTACATTAAAACAAGCAATGGCAATAAAACACTGAAGTTTCTTAGTCATTGCATTAATAGAACACCTGAACAGAACAATACACAGTTTCAATATCCATTAAGAACAAGAAAGATAGCATAAATTAGATTTATGAAAACTAACGCTGCTACTTCTCCATGAATTAGCAGGAAATTGGAATAAGCCAACGGGGTACAGGCCCAAACACAGGGAGTGTCTCTGAAGGAAACTCAAAAATAGGGGAAATTTGTCTATCCTTCAAGCTGTAGATGCCCATTTCGCTACCTGTAAGCAAGCCAAAATAGGCATTGTCGTGGGTGAAGTAAATACAGTTCCCCATGCAGCTACTGAAATCTTCTGTTGATACTGCTACCGATTGATTTTGACCTAAAAACAATGACCGACCATCCCCAAGAGTTTCCATTTCTACCCATTTTTGCCCTTCCAAATCCAGCCTATATACATCAAATATCTGCGTAGTGATATCATGGTTATCCTCCTCTGGCACATTCCTTGCAACAAGCAGAATCTCCTCATCTGATTGAACCAGATAAACTCGATAGATGAAACAATTTGGTCTCTGAAATGTGTCAGTGGGGGCAGCATATCCATTGTAGATTTCATTTTCGGGATAACCACTCTCTAAATCCCAAGTATGAATAGCACTACCAGTAGTCAGGACATGAAGCTTGGTTTCATAGGGCATAATATCCTTCAATACAATACGGTTCGGCAATCCTGAATTATAGAATAGTGTCCACGAACTGTCTCCATTCTTATAATATAAAAGCTCTTCTGTATTGTAGTAGCATAACAAAACCACAGCAAAGTCACCTGTAGGTTCGGCTGTCAAAAAGGCTCTTGAAACAAAAGATCGGCGTAGCTCTAGCTTAGTTACGATCAACCATTCATCCTCACAGAGAATTTTACAGCGGCCTCTATCATCTTCCTCAATTTCGGAAATGCTGAACAGATATTTTAAAGAAGGAGGTTGTATACGGGCCTCGGTGAAAGGGCTGAAGAGGAAGGGAGAAAAAGTTTTGTGATCGGAGAAAATCAGCCACCCGTGTGAGGATCCAGTGCAGGCAAACTCGGAAACCAGGAAGATCGTAAACTATGTTTTCTTCGAGATTCATGATGCGAGAAGAATTGCCGCCAACACAGTCTAAATAACTGGTCCACCCACCTTCTGCATGCTGTTTTCGAGGAAGCATGAGCCATGGGGATTTGAAGAAGCGAGAATGGGACTTGGAAGAGAGGACAGAGGCAGCGGAAGAGTTCCAGGCACGAGAGACGACTTTTGCCCAAAAAACGTCGATCAATGGCAGAGCCTTAGCGGCGGGGTGGAACAGATCAGCGGGCAGCTCGATTTGCCGTTTGGTGTTTCTGCTCGGGGAAACGCAGGATTCTTCCGCTCTGCTTCGATCGCTTCGAGACGACTATGGCCATGATGGGGCAGTTCGGGTCTCCCTCTGTTGTTTCTGATGGTGGAATCGCAGGATCTGTTCGAAACTTCAAAGTGGTGAAGAAATTGGGGTTTCGTAGTTTTTTATGTAGAGGGCCAAAGTCGGCTGCAATTCCAATTGGCTCGAAGCCTCAAACCTAAATTGGGACCAATCTCATATGAAGTCGAAATTAAAATTGGACCAATCTGTTTGGTTTTTAAAAGTCAATCGAATCCAACAAGAAATTTGTTTCGTTGTTTTGTTTCCATGACTTAGGGCGATGATATCATAACGATGTAATGATTAAAAGTTTAAGATTTTTAATTATAAAAATCATATTCAAACCTTCAAGTATGTGAAAATTTTTTTTAAAAATAAAATTATATCTTTTTATATAACTTATAATTAAATATTAAAAGACTTAAAGTGATGATAAAATCAAAAAAAAAAAAAAAACCTTCTTATTTTTTTATGTAGCTTTAATATATTACATATACTATAATATCTCAAGTTTAGTACAGGTAAAAAATATTGAAATTAGTAGTATATGAAAAAGTTATAAAAAAATTTTTTTTTTTTCATTTTTTTTCTTCTTTTTTTTTTTTTTTTTTTTTGAACAACAAAAAAGATTTTTATTAATGGAGTATAAGAGGTATTCTTATCCATTTACATAATAAGTTTACTGATTTTCTTCCCCAAGCTAAGATTAATTATCTTTCCTACTTCTTTTTCTATTGTTCTTCTGCAACAGTCTATCACATTCCTTCGGGTTCATCAACCATTCCGAGAAAGAGAAAGCCAGCTGTCTTGATCTTGCTACTATCCACTGGTAAGATCTTGCTTGAACTAAAGAGAATAGTTTGTCCTCATCAACTTCAGTCCCTTTGAACAGATAATAATTCCTTCCCAGCCATTTGATCCATGTGATAACAAACCACACTACTTCCCATCCACTGCAGCTTTTCCTTTTACCTAACATGCCAATGTGCTGCTGGAAAGCCTCCTCTAACATGCAACGCATTACATAATGTGTCCCCCACCATCCTAAACATTTAGACCACAATCTCCATGCAAACGGACAAGTAAGCAATAGATGTTCTACACTTTCAATGCAAGTTCCACACAAAACACATTTTCCTCATTATTGTTATCATCATCAAAAGAAATTTAATTTGAGATAGCAATGATCAGTGAACCAGAAAAACAATTTTCTGTTTTTGAGCACGAAACAATTGTGTCTCCATTTCCACAGGAAGCCTATCAAACAAAAGCCGGAGTCAAATTACAAAAATGTTTTAAAAGTTGTTTACTTGAGAGCTCTATTCTGTCTGTTTAACATTTATACATTGTTCAAGATGACCAACTCAAATTTCCTCCAAATTTTCCATTCTCACTCATACAATACAAAGAAAACAATGAACTTAATCGAGAAAGCATTCAAATCAGCAAATACAAAAAATTTATGTAGAACAAGGTAGCAATCAGCAGCAACTAACCATCCCAACACAGGAGAAAGACTCACATACAAACCCTAATGGTAAGCAGAATAATTAAGCACCCATCTAACAGACTAAGAATCACATAGAAAGATAAGTAATACACTGGAATCAGGCTTGCTGGGAGCCATGGCCGACTGATTGAGGTTCAAAAACAAACAGAAAGATGTAAGCTTTGATCCCTCACAACTGCATCCCGATGAATATAACCCATTGCAGAAGCCATTAAATCATGGGGTCATCTGATCTCATCTCATCTCTGCCTCCAGAGAAACATACAGAGTGAAGTTAGGTGGAGTAGATGGACAAGCAGAGATCTTGCTATGTGGTACCCATGTACATCATCATCAGTCCCAAAATCCGGTATATCGTCGGGGTACAGGGTTATACTTGCAAATTGCAATCAGATCCTGACAAGTGGGAGAGAGTGTGGTTCCAGGGTTCTTTTGATTGGAGAGTGAGGAAAGGAGAGGAGACAGCAGGTGAGAATTGGGTGGTCAGATGTTGGCTGCTACCTGAAACAAGTATCTTTGTTGCTGAAATGTAAACGCTAAAGCCATTTTAAGAATTGACTTCTTCTTCCTCTTCTTCTTTTTTTTTCCATCGATGGCTCTCTCTATTTCCTGAATCGTGCGAATCGATTTTCTCTCTTTACGGAGAAGAATTGGAATTTTGTTTTCTGAATTATGGCCACTAGTTCAAGATTCCCAAACCCCAACAAGAAGGCTTAATTGGTCGCTCTGTTTTATTTTATGTAGAAATGCCTACCTTTGGTGCCCATTTCCCAATAGCTTCATGGGGGTGAGTACCAATGAAGTGGGCAGCTCTTTTTTGCCAAACATGCAAATTCTTAATTTTTTCTATTAATGGAGAAGAGATGGTCAACTAAAAATATGATTTTGGGTTTGGGATAGCAAATAATTTTGATGTGCGTGTTAAGCATGTCCAGGCAGAAGAATGCGTGATTCATAGGGACATAAAACAGTTAACGGTATATATACCACATAAATTGACGTACATTATCTTGATCAAAAGGGAAGACATCCCTTCTACATAAAAATCAATCAGAAACTTTTTGATGCATTTTTACATTTGTTTCTTTGCATCCAAGGACTTTGATAATTAATGAATATCAGAAACTACGTTACAGCAATCACATAGTTCAAACTCAAGGCTTCACATGGTTGCTATTGTTGCTTCTACTGCCGAGGAGAGTCGAGATCCTCTTGAGTGGACAGTGAATGAAGAGGTTGGTGCCTCTTGGAACCAAAAGAAGTTATTTCCCTGAAAGAAGGAACTTTCTCAAGATGCTGTGAATGTGAAGTCATCATTGC